CGTCTTTGTCCTTGTCATTTTGTCTGTCACTGGGGGCGATCTGTGGTGGGGGAGGGGGAGGGGGAGGTGGAGGAGGGGGGGTGCGACGTTGTGGGGCAAGTGCCTCAAAAGGCAAGCGGAAAATAAAAAGGGCATTGAAAGCACACCGGGGGGAAAAATGGGGCAGCAATAATAAACAATTGTGCGATGGAAATCCGCGATTGTAATCCGCAATTTTTACGGCTTTGGATGGGCCAGATGCCAGTTGCCGGGGGGCGAGGGGCGAGGGGTGAGGGGCGGGGGGCGAGGGGCGAGGATTCACGTCACTTCCGTCACCAGGACGGAGGCTATCGCCCAACACCATCTTTATTCATTTTTGAAAACAATCGCATCGCAATCTGCTAACAACGAACGGCGGCAACAAAAGTAACAGCAAATAATACCGCAGAGCAGTTGACTGGCTAAATGACTGCGAAGGACGAGGATGAGGACGGGGACAAGGACCGGGAGGCCGAGTTGTCCTGCTGCGACCGCTGAAAAGGACCAGGCACCTGCCACAAAGGCCCGCTGTTCTGGCCAAGGAAGTTCCAGCCCCGATGAACTCAGGCCGCCGCCCATCGGACTTGGTGATCAGGGGAGTGGGTCGGGTATGTGTGCAATTAACCCCTTTCGAAGGGGAGCGACATTCCGCAAACCAATGGGAAATCAGGATGCCAGAAAAGGGTTGACACAGCCCCTACATGTCTCCTAATCAAGAGATTTCGGAAGACTTTTCTCATACACAGGTTCTATTGGGGAGTAACCACCAACTCATAAGTCAAAAAATATGTTATGTTATCGCTTTAATAAAACACTATCCCTCCAAGGTATTCTGATAAGAATAATACACTATCAGGATGCCAAAGAAGGGTTGACACTGATTCTATATGTCTCCTAATCAAGAGATATTGGAAGACTTTTCCCATACACAGGTTTTATTGGGGAGTAACCACCAACTCATCAGCTATTTAATATGTTGTGCAATAGCCTTAACAAGACACTATGGTATTCTGATAAGAATAATACACTATCAGGATGTCAGAAAAGGGTTGACACAGCGCCTACATGTCTCCTAATCAAGAGATTTCGGACGACTTTTCTCATATACAGGTTCTATTGGGGAGTAACCACCAACTCATCAGCTATTTAATATGTTGTGCAATAGCCTTAACAAGACACTATGGTATTCTGATAAGAATAATACACTATCAGGATGCAAAAGAAGGGTTGACACAGCGCCTACATGTCTCCTAATCAAGAGATTTCGGAAGGCTTGTCTCATATACAGGTTCTATTAAGGAGTAACCACCAACTTATCATCCATTTAATATGTTAAGCAATCACTTTAATAAGACACTATCCCCCCAAGGTATTCTGATAAGAATAATACACTAAAATAAAGATAACATTTCACCTGGTCCTCTGGCAAATACGCATTTATTAAGCTCACATATAAATTTGAGCAGACATCTGTGTGTATCCGAGCTGTTAACAGTCCGCAAAAAATGGGCTTTTGACACGAGAACATCCATTATAAGCGGTACTTAATTGTGTTGTTCCCCGTCCGCTTGTTTGTGCCGCTGGAAAAAAATGTCCGGACCACTGGGGCCACGTACGAAGCGTGTCCTGCCACACTCTCGCACAATGTCCTTTGCCCTCAACCCCCCTCCCACTTCCCCTCCTCCTCCGCAAAGGCTAATGGCAACGACATATTGATATAGACACAGGTCAGGGGGAATCGTGCTGCTGTAAGAGCGGCCTTTAACTCGGAAGCTCAGTTGGATACACACCACTAAAGTGTTAGTTGGTAATTTAAATGAACAGAAGGTGAAATACAAACAAAATTATTAATCACTTTAATTTGCAATAAAAAATGTTTGTTACAGTAGCTTAATCTTCTTTGTTTTCAATTGTTTCAGTTACAATTGGCACTAATGGAGTGAAAATCGATTAAAATGTATATTTAATGAAAGCTTTGCCTTTTTCAACCGATTGTCCTTTGATTTGTATTGTATTGATTGTATAAAAGATATGAGATACATATTATGTAAAACCTCTTAATCCATTGTGAAACAGTCAAATACCTTATTCAGATATTGGCAAAAATAAGAGTTTTCCTTAGTGTTTTTTTCTGCTCGAAAACGTTTAGAATATCTCAAATATGTTGGTGATTTACGCAGGGAAAAAGGTAGTCCTTAGTTTATATACCCTTGCAATAATAGCAAACATTTATTAGTGTACTTGGCCAGATCATTCCCGACCGGAATACATAACAGCTTTACAAAATAGTACTAAACATTTAAATGCCAACGAGGCGTACACCAAATTCTTTAAATGCAATGAAATACAACTATACAAATTAACAGACGTCTAGTGATGCTGATCAATATTATTTATACGTTAAGAGGTTTCTTCACTGAATTACAAACTTATCATCATAATAGCAAAGTTATACAAAAAGCAGCACTCCAAAACAAATTTGACCTGCTTTGGGATTTATTTAAGTCAACGTACAAAATTTCATTATTATATATAGGTATAGTTACCGAGATCCATTTCCCCACTCCCATGTGATTAGATCTACTTATATCTATCTATATATTATATTGGTTTAAAAACGATTTAAATATATTGCCACCATTCATTAGCCGAGATTTAAAAGGAGAGTAACCCAAAGCTGATCTGCAGAGGTCTCTTGTTTCATTCAGGCGACTTCCAGACTCAGATTCATTCAGCAGCACAATCAAAATGCATAACCGACTGTACCAAAACACTCTTTTAATTGATGGAGGATTCGTTTCCTGGCCACTTTCGGGCTGTTCAAGACAGATGATGACGTCGAGTTGAGTGGCCAGGACTGAGGCGAATTTAACCCCCGCCAGGACGTGATCCCGATGGATGGGAATCAGTTCGGAAAATGTTTCACATAAGTGCCTTTGTACATAAGGACTCCTTATGGCGGCTGGCGCAATTGTGATCGTTGTGCTCGAATAGAGAAGAGAAACAAATCTCCCTGCTCATCCCTGTCGCAGCCTCGGCATTTATTTTTTAGCTCAAGCCAATGTTTATTTAAGCGGTGTGGGGTGCGTTCGACGGGATTGGCAATGGCCGATGCCGATGCCAATGCCGATTCCTTTAATGACGACGATGGTAGTGACAGCGCGGCAGGATGACAGCTATAGCGATGAGGATCCTCGAGAGATTATAAAACTGCTCACCCTTGCTCCGGATTCGAGTGCCCCGCACCCCTTTCCCCTTCCCGTCTCTTCAAACAAAATGTCTCCCATCCCATGAAGGATGTTTCCTCATTTTGAATAGCCCATTCCCCGCTCCCCGCTCCCCCCGCCCGACCAACCACCCCCCGGCTCCGATGTTTTGTTTATTCAATTCACATAGGTCCCTGCACTCGCATTCGTACATATATTTAATTGCATTCCCTTCTTAAAAAGGGCTCGTCCCAGTTGGCAGTTGGCAGAAGGACATAACGCGATTAAGGCGGTATATGAGTAGCAATGGAGCGGTTCCGGACGTAACACCCCCCTCCTTCCTCCTGGCAAAAGATGTTTGATTTATGAATTTATGGACACGGAACTCAATCGAATAATCTGGAAGTCAACTAAAAGTATTTAACGGTTAGCATATACATGTGTTTATGGCGAACGTATCTTGAATCTGTCACTTTAAGCTCTTTAACCCATAGTTATTAAATGTAGCATTCTGTATACAAGTTCATATTAGTACTTTTTTTTTTTAAAGTATGGTTACGGAACTCAATTAAATCATCTGAAAGCATATTTATGTATATATTCGAACATAACTTACTACTACTATCTTATACTTTTAACCCTTAGTTAATAGGTAATATAAATTCAAATTAGTTCTTAATTTTTGGAAATGAATGATGCCTTCGAACCCATTTTATGTATGTATTTTCAAAATACAGATGACGTAAGTAAAAACATGATAAAGAAGTGAAATTAAATTAAGTATCTTTTTTTTTTATTCGAATACGCAGGGTATTAAAAGTGCTAGTAGCTGCAAGGCTATGTACGGCTTCATTTCTGAACTGCCGAGACCACTCTTCAATCGCATGCATCCTGCCAGTGACTGTGACTCGCTCCAGAAAAGGGATTCTCTGCGAAGGGAAGGGCCGGCAAAGAAAAGGCAGCCCTGAGTCAACTACGGATTAATTAAATACTCATATGCGAAAATGTTTGGCCGCACATCGGGGAGCACGGGCCACGGGACTCCATGAATGGAAAGGAATGGAATGGAATGGACCTGGACCTGGAGTATGGAGCACAGGCTGACCGGCCAGTGCGAATGCCATTGTTTTTTATGGCTCAATGCACATCAGTCGGGCCAGCACAATGGGCAACGCAGCCAAACACCCAAACACCCAAACAACGAGCACCCGAACAACCAAACAACCAAACAACCAAACACGCAGACGAAGTCCTGCTCGTTCTGAGGACACATCCTCCCACTCGCAAATGCCATGAATTCCAATTATGTGTATGATTTGCAGTGCCTGCCAATATTTGCATTTCCCTGTTTACCTTTAGATGCAATTTTGTCAGCTTCTTTCGTGGAGCTCTCCATTGCAAAAATGGCTTCGGCATGTTTTACTGTGTGCAGGCTGTTGGAATTGTTTTCAAAGCGGCGAGCTGTTCCAAACAGACTTGTAATCCATGTTCAATATGAATAATCAGAATAGGAAAGTTTCTACCGTGTGAATAAACGTTAGAAGCAAATGCAATCGCTACCAATCAATAAAATGCTACTTATTTTATGTATTCTTTGTATGTAAAAGGGGACAAATTTGAGGTTTTGAATAATCTTAAGATGGCCTCTCGATCGAGAAAATTTCAAAAATAATAATCCATATAGAGTCACAGAACTTAGGCAACTTTTAACGTTTGTATGCAAACAGAAATAAAACAAGAAAGGAAAGCTAACTTCGGGCAGAGCCGAAGTTGATATACCCTTGCAGAATGTTCTGTAAATTATATTCTCCAAAAATTATTTATATTATGCATTCTTATTACTCATAAAAAATCGAGTCGGTCATTAGGACTTGGGCCTTATCATCATCTCAACAAAGGTAAGTGAAATACTCCAGTCGTCGTGTTGAAATGGGCCCCATTGAATTCCGTCAGAACCTTTGCCATCTTTGTAGTATTTTGCATTGAGCTTACTGTAATTTTAAGTGATTGTAGTAAGAAGATAATAAGAGCATAAATAAACATCTATACCTATATGAACAGGCTTTGTGCCACCATGCACCAAATTGATAGGCACATTGATAGGCGGGGTCATAACTCCGATCAATCGTGTTGAACCTTTGGTTCTTATTGTATTCGAGGGCGTCTCCGGCTTCACCAGAATATATTCCTAGATTCTTCAACTCGTACCATTCCTCCTCACTCCCGATCTTAAAATCATCGTATTGAGCGTAACCGGTGGATCCGTTAAGCATCCCAAGTTTAATGTAGAGTTCGTGGGGTCGTGCCTCAGTCATCCGATGCAGTTTTTCCAGCCCGATGAAGAATTCTCCAGTGACATTCCCAAATCCAGATTTATAGTCATTCCAGGTTCTATTGAAGTCCTCGGATCCGTCAATGCGTCTCTGAATTACAGTCCAACCAGGTGGAGACGTCGCACATGGCACTTTAAAGGGTTCAAGACCCCGAAGCTTTATTTGGTAAATGCCATTGGGACTGTCAATGGGACAAGAGTCAGGTAAATTGTCATCAGATTTCCGGCATTCCGAAAGCTGACTAGAAAGTTCTGATTTTGTTTTCTCAATGGCTTCAATTCGAGTCGTAAGGGTCGAGATTTGTTCATCTCTATTTTTAAGGTGCTCCTCTTGGTTTTTGAGTTCATCGTTGGCATCGGCTGTTGTTTTCATCTGTACAAAATGATTTAGAACAGGCGATAAAATAATAATCATTGCATTCGTTTTCAATATTCTAATTAGTTGGTTACTGCGGTAAAACAATATACAAATTATTAAATACCCAGAAAAATGGCAGAAACATTACCTAATAGAGCCCTGCATTACACTCATACCAAAATTAACCCTAAAAACAAGAAATTCGCCTTATTTTTGACTTCAAAGGCATCGCACCTTAAATCGTAGGGTAACGTTTTCTAAAATTAAGGGCGTTCCTTTCTAAAATCTAAGGCAAAGAACCCATAAAACAAGAAAAACTCTTCTAAAAAATAGAAAAATATTTCTTAAAAGTAGGGCATCTAACCATAAATTTAAGGGTATTTTTTCTAAAAATTAGAAAAAATGTGCCTACATTCATCATGATGTAATTTTTCATTCAGGATTTATGGACTTATGTATATTTATGTATGTGTATACATATGTACATATATGATTTAAGCACTTTGCTTTTCATTCAGAAAAGTCACAAAGTTTGTGTTAATATTGCACTTATGAATTGCCAATATCGATTTCAACTGTAATTCTGTGGGGAAGAGAGAGAGAAATTAGTACAATTATGACTTAATTCAGTTCTTACAAGTAAAATCCGATAAGTATCTATCCGAAAAAACTTATAATTTTATTCGTCCGTCGGTGGGATTCGAACCCAGGTCTCCCGCGCGTGAGTTCAAAGACATTGAATGGAGCCTCAGTCGCGCGAAGAACGCACGACAAACCAAAGACTATATGATGTATACACTGCTATAGATTAGCATAATTCCAGCGCAGTATTATTTAATGGGCTAAACAAATTTGTACTATTGTCCTTTTTTATAAAAACTTCCGATAGGAAGGCCCAAGGATGTCTGTCTATCCGTAACTCACCGTTCCAAGTTTCTCCATTCTGTCCAATCTCGCATCCAACTTGGCCTGCAGAGCCTGAATTGATTTCACGAAGTCTTCTTTTGTGACTAGTTCCTGTAGTTTGTTCTGCATTTCGGAGTTCACCGCCATATGTTGTTCTTCCGCCAGCTTGAATCTCGAATCGAATCCGGCCTTCAGATCCTCTTGTCCGTGCGCCGTGGTCATACTAAGGTTTGTCTGCCCTGCCTTGATTTCATCCAACCTTTTTCGGATATGGCGAGAGTGATTCAAAAGCGGGTTCAGTGTGGTCAGGCAAAAGGAGCCGCATTGTCTTGGTGCATCTTGGAGAACACATGACGACTGATTCCTAGAATTCAACTCAATTCCTCCTTGTACACTTGGAAAAATGAATAAGCCAAGCAAAAAGGATAATAGTCTCAGCATCTTAAGTTGTTCGACCTACTCAAAACGAATTTAAAAAATGTACTGAAATGTAGCTGTAATTTGAAATAACAACGAAGCCCAAAGATTATAAAATAGTGATATGGGTTTTTCCCGTTGATTAAAATATATTAAATCAACGGGAAAAACCCATATCACTAAATCTGTATATGTATGGACTTGCATACAAATAGACATGAGCTTATGTTCTTATCGCTTATTTGTGATTTAAATATTAATGTCAGTACTTGTTAGTTTGGAAAACAACAAATAAGCTTAATTTGTATACCCTTGCAACGCAGTGAAGGAGACATCTCCGACCCTATAAAGTATATATATTCTTGATCAGGATCACCTTCTGAGTTGATATAGCCATGTCCGTCTGTCCGTCTGTCTGTTTTTACGCGAACTAGTCTCTCAGTTTTAAAGATATCGAATTGAAACTTTGCATACACCCTTCTTTCCTTTGCACGCAGTATATATGTCGGAACAGCCGGGATCGGCCGACTATATCCTATAGCCGCAACATAACTGATTGATCGGAAATGCCATAACTTTGGTGTTTGTTAAGTTATGAAGTTGAGATTTTATATGGGTTTTTTTTCACCAATCAATCCGACCTACCAAACTTTATAAGGATCTGCCGACTATATCCTATAGCTGCCATATAACTGAACGATTGGAAATGCCATAACTTTGGTGTTTTTAAAGTTAGGAAGTTGGGATTTTTTATGAGTATTAAGAATGCATCAATTGAATAATTTTGGAGAATATAATTTACAGAATATTCTGCAAAGGTATTTCAACTTCGGCTCCGCCCGAAGTTAGCTTTCCTTTCTTGTTTTTTTTGCATTTATTTATTTATTTTTTTTTAATGCACAACATCTCGAGAATATTGTGTTAAAATCTTTGATCGATCCGAGTTAAACTTCCGAACTTATCGGCAGTTGAACGTAGGTGAGGTAGCTCGTTTTGTAACAAATATCTCGACTATTGGGCCGAAAATCGTGGTTTTCGACTTTCAACTGCCTTAAAAAATCGAAAAAAAATTAAAACTCGACAGCGTTACCTGAAATATCTTGTCTTTTAGCTAATGCAATTTGATTTGTTCATTTCAAATAATTCTGTGATCAGTTATCGTGTACACCGCAAAACATGTTTTTTTTATATGAAAAAATTCACACATGTTGTTTAAATGTTGCCCTATCACATGCAAAAATCAAAATTGAGCTGAGACTATCCGAATCGCCAATAAAATTTCTTTAAAAATGATCGACTTTGCACCGAATTGGCTATACCCCCCTTAATGCACGGAGTACATTCTTCGAGCATTGAAAGGGAAGTCGCGCTTATTTGAAGAGATTTCTGAGGCCCGACTTAGGAACATTTTGGTATGCGACCACAACTGGGCCGCACGACGATGGTCAATGTTAATTGCGGATCATCAGGCCTGCGCTGGATTCCGGGTCGATCTCAGCTTTAATAACATCTTGGGTCGGCGAAGACAAAGACTAGTTATAGAACATCCCGTCTGGGGTCGGCGCGACCTGCAATTAGACGCCTCAGATGCTCCAAAACTCGTCTGATGACACGAGTCTTATTGTCGTCGGTCCATTTTGATGGAGCTTTCGGGACTACAGGCCCTAATTGATCTGGCTCTCATTCGTAATGGCAGTTCAGATGGGCTCGAGTCTGTTGCCCTCTTGACTCCACTCTTAACTCGTTCCATTTTTAAATTCAATTAGCTCACAACACTGTGTGAAAGTTCTGAAAATGTGCTCTGGATTCGCATTGATTGCTAACTATTGAAGTTTAAAAATGAATTGGGGATGTCAAATCTGGTGTGACAGGGAAATCAGTTGAGAATTGGAGGTCACTGAGAAGTAATTATGTCTTTATTGCATTATAGAGACAAACTTGATTTTCCAAGATAAGTCACACATTCATGAAATATAAATATATATAATAATAAACCCTAATCATAATCGGTTTTAGGAATCTTTTCGGCCGAAGCTTCAGTTTCCAGTGCCATTTTCTCTTTCCATTAATTTTAGTATTGTATACTAGTTTTAATTTGACAAAATAAAATAAATAGGAATCTTTAAAGAATCAGTATTCGATTCACAAAACTCTCTGTGTCAATCTTTTCTAAATCGTTAGATTTCGGTTAAACCAACACATAGTTTGATATATTGAATATGCTTACGTATTTTAAGCAGTTAATTCTTGATCCATTCTGACAAAAAAGTAGTGATTTGTACACATTTCTTCAGACTCTCTCGCATTTTTGGAGGCGGACATGGCTGGCCTTCGGATCGTGATTAATTTGGGAACGACAATAAGGTAACCAGAGGTTTCCCCGGTTGCTTGGCAATGCTTTTTACCTAATGTCTGATGACCAGGTGGCACTCATCTCCAGCCTGCCGCTACCCATTGATGTGAACCTTAATTATAACGCCATCGAGCTGCGTCATCATTTACAAAACGCCACCAACCACAAGCTCGAATCAGGGCAGCCATTATTATTATTATTATTGCCATGGACGGGGCTGTTTAAGTACATAAGCCAGGGAATTTCCATACACCACGGACTTGCTCTTATATATGTAGATATAAATGCGTTCCCTGTCCCATTCCTCGCCCAAAAATGGGGCTCAAATCTAATTTCCACAGAGGTTCGACTGGCCAAAAGGGTTGGGATGTGTTGCGATGTGTTTCAAGACCAAACTAGGCACGCCGCGCATCATGAGACCGGAATATGTTTAAGTAATTGGAAATGGATACCCACAACTGTATCCTATGTTTTAAGGATGATGCCAAAAAATCGAAGTTCAAGTGCAGAGCACAAAAAGATAGTGATTTTCCAATTTGTGCCCTTTAATACATAAATAGTAGACACAATTAAGTATCTAGTTAAAGAAGACTATAAGCATTTTTGAGACATCTCTTAGAATTTTAAAACTATTGCGGTATGTTTTTTTCCGGATCAATAGAGAGCATAGACTTAATATATATTTTCTCTCAAAATATTTTTGGATAAACTAAATTTAAAACGATTAATTTCCTCAATTAAAGGAGTTATTTAAATTTTTTGCCAGAAATGTAGTCAATAGAAGTACACAAATAAATCAATTAAGACGTTTTATGGTCTTAGATAATCATGAGTTTGTAAGGAATCATAAAGTTATTTCTTAAGAAACTAGCAAAAATGTTATGTTTAAAAAAACAACAACAGCCTTCTGGCCTTCATACAAAACTACATATGTATATAGCGTTTCTTTAAAACAGAGATTATAATACAAAATAAAAGAGCAGAAAGGCAGGATTTTTAAAGTCACAATTGACCATATTCTGCTTACTCTTTTATATTATGTAGTTATGATACGCCATTAAAGATGTTGTGTTTTACATGGGAAACCATTTCCCTATAATTCATGTTCACTTTTGAAGTTGTGCCCACTGTACCTGGTTCTAAGGTCGCAACTTATTGTTTTCCTAAATTAAGACAATTATAATTTTGCTAAGCTCGGAAGCGGAGAGCGGCGAACAAAGCGGGACAATGGCCACATCGGAATCCACGTCGGATTAACCTGGAGAAGTTGAGATGAGGCAAAGGGCACGGAGGCTGCGGCACAACAGATCCGCTGCCCAAGCCGAAAGCCACACAGGAACACAGGAACACAGGCACAATGGCACAGTGTTGCGAATGAATAATTAAAATAATAGGTCAAGCAGGTTGAACAAAGGCCCACAATGCCGCTATCCTCACTGATCCTCTTCGAGGATCGCAGCGATCGAGGCGATCGTAGCGCCATGCGCTTAGCCTTAGCGCACCGAAACAGGACTCGGGGTGCGGAACAGGTTGTCCGGCTGTCAGATTGCAGGAGAGCGGGACTGCAGGACTACAGGACTACAGGACTACAGGACTCTGTTCCCCGTAGGGGTTTAGCTGGCAGAGACAAAGGGCGGCGGACAAACGCAGCAGGCAAAACAATGCGGCAAAGCGTTAAATACGTACGAGCAGCCAAATGGCAGGCTGGAAAAAGAGCAGGACACGGTAGCAGCGGCAGGACAAAGGACACAAAGGACACAAAGGGGCAAACACGGCTAATTATCCTATTCACTTCATGTGTGTGCAATTACTCAGGCCCTCCCGATCTGTACTTGTCAAGTGCAGCTCCGATCTCTAATCCTGATCCTGCTCCTGCCGCTGCTCCTGTTGCTGCCGCAGGACGACCCAAAAGCCAATTACCGATTCTATCTGCCGAGCTGTAATGTAAACGCTTTTCGCACAGCCTTCCTCCGCAGGAGACAGTTTGATGACACTGCTGTCCTCGTCCTTCGGGCAACTGGCATTGGTGATGATCCCCGGTGACCAGTTGTCCAGTTGTCCCAGCATTCGGACACCATCAATCAATCGATCATACCTGTACCTATGTTGTTCCACTTGAAACTCCAGACCCCAAACTTCAATCTCCAGCCGTGAGCGAATCAAAGAGCTGTTCCAATCATTTGGTGACCTGGTAAGATTCTGCTCCCAAGATGAATCGACGGTTTGTTCGCACCCCGTCGATAAGCAGTTAATTATACCTACTCCCATCCTGCCATGCCGCCCATGGGCGTGGCACCTCGGCGGCTTTGCTTTGTTTCCTGCGCAGTGCGCACTATTCCGAGTACGCGTGTCTAGTTGCACTTTTCCGAGGCTTCGGCGCCAAGGAGCATTAATCAATGACAGTCCATCCATCCATCCATCCATCCATCCAATCTGTCCGTTCATTGCAACATTACCGTAAAATTGTAGTCGTACCTTGCATGCCGATGCCCCTTTTTCGGCGATCGACCCGGTCCATCCACATGTGCTCGAAGGGGAACCGTATAAATCATAATTACATTTCCAAATTATTCATCGTCAATCAAGGTAATGAAATACGTTTTCGGGCCCGAGCTTAAGTAATCTACGCCAAGTGAGCCAGCACTTTCGATCGATCCCGTCTTATCCGCCGATCCAGTTGCAGGCCCAAAAGTGGGAAGTGTCGCAGCATGAG